TTTCTTTAAAAAAATCTGTCTCCCAAGCTGGCCTGAAATTCCCAATTCTCTGACCTTAGCCTCCTGGGATTACAGTTGTGTACCACTACATCCAACTATAATTTGAGATTTTTTTTTTGTCGGTGGTGAACCCTGGGCCTAGGCACTGTTCCTGAGCTCTTTAGTTCAAGGCAAGTGCTCTACCACTTGAGCCACGGAGCCACTTCTGGTTCTCTGGTGGGTTTTATTGGAGTTAAGAGTCTCCTGGAATTTCTTGCCCAGGCTGGCTTTGAATTGTGATCCTCAGATCAATTTGAAATGTTTTGCTCAGTGTTTTCCTGTCTCTTGCTCTTTGTCAAACCCTATGCTCAGTGCCAGGCAGGTTGAGTGTATTAGTTAGGATTATAGCACAAGCTAATGCCACTGAGATAAAGATACCTTTGACGAATCTTAGCTCATCAATGAAGCTACATCTATGCAGATACACAGGAAACCCTCCACGAGATTCCTCTCTCCCCAACCCTCCCTTTCTCTTCCTTTCCCTCCATTCCTCCCTCCTTCCCTCCTTCCCATTACTCCACTTGAAACTAGTGCAACTTTAGAGTTAATCAGGAAATGTTGACATAAAAAAAAAGAACTTTAAGCTGGGAATGAGGCTTAGTGGTAGAATGCTTGCCTAGCATGCATGAAACCCTGGGTACGATTCCTTAGTACCACTTATACAGAAAAAGCCGGAAGCAGCACTGTGGCTCAAGTGATAGAGTGCTAGCCTTGAGCAAAAGAAGCTCAGGGACAGTGCCTACGCCCTGAGTTCAAGACCCAGGACTGGCAAAAACAAGTAAACAAACAACAGCAACAACAACAAAGAACTTTATTCAGGTAAGACTTAAATACAAGCAAATGAATATGTTTAAATTATATATTGTGTAATAAGTTAGAATGAATTATTCATTCACCTAATTAGTGTAACAATACAGATGTGTACACTGTGTGTCCAACACAGTAGTTACTAACTACATGCAGCTATTTAAATTCAAATGAGCTACAATTAGCCTTTTTTTTTTTTTGGTGGGTCATGGGGCTTGAACTCTGGGCTTGGGCACTGTCCCTCAGCTCTTCAGCTCAAGGTGAGCGCTCTACCACTTGAGCCACAGCGCCACTTCCTCAAATGAGCTACAATTAAAGGCAGTCCCTCAGCTGTACTGGTCAAATTTCAAATTCTTTTTTTTTACTTTTTTTTATTGTAAAGATACTGTACAGAGGGGTTAAAATTTCAAATTCTTGAAATGTCGCCTGCCAAACTGAACAGAGTAAATGGCAAGATCTTTCCAGCATTGCCAAGGTTCTACAGTGTTGTACTTCTTTCAAGCTTATCCACCACACAAGAAAGTTCCTTTGGGGCTGGGAAGGTGGCTCAGTGGTAGAGCGCTTGCCTTGCATGCATGAGGCCCTGGGTTCGATTCCTCAGCACCACATAAGCAAAAGAAAAAAAAACTGGAAGTGGCGCTGTGGCTCAAGTGGTAGAGCTCTAGCCTTGAGCTGAAGAGCTGAGGGACAGCGCCCAGGCCCAGAGTTCAGGCCCCATGACCAGACCCCCCCCCTCCTCCCGCACCACCACCAAAAAAAGAAAGTTCCTTTGTGCTCTGCCCAGGGAATCACCAAACCCACCTTCTATCCCAAGATCTGTCACTCCTCATTAGAGGTGTGTCTTCTGAACTCACAATCTTTTTGTATTTGCTTCCCAGTTTGGTATTATAGGCATGTGTCAGCACACTCAGTCTGGTGTTTACCTTTTCTAAAATTTTGCATAAATGGGACTAGAACCCTAGGTATCCTTTTGCGTATCTTTTTTATCATAAAGATTTTGAAGGTTATTCATGCTTACTTTCTTTTTCCTTTTTTAGTTTTTTGTTGTGTTGCATTGAATAATTTTGTATCCCATCACAAGAATGAATATTTAGATTGTTTCTAAGTTTTGGTGTTTTATATAGAGTATATAAATATGTATGTAGGGGCTGGGAAGGTGGCTCAGTGGTACAGCGCTTGCCTTGCATGCATGAGGCCCTGGGTTCGATTCCTCAGCACCACATAAGCAGAAAGAAAAAAGCCAGAAGTGGTGCTGTGGCTCAAGTTGTAGAGCGCTAGCCTTGAGCTGAAGAGCTGAGAGACAGTGCCCAGGCCCAGAGTTCAGGCCCCATGACTGGACTCAAAAAAACAAAACAAAACAAAAATGTATGTATGTGTATATGTATGTATAGGTATGCCCAGACTCTAGAGCATTCTAGGGAAGCATGTTTACCATTCCTATGTCCTTAACCCATCAGTGTTCTTTCTTATAGAAGTCTTTGTATAGATATATGCTTTGGTTCTCTTGGGAAAATACCCAGGAGAGGAATTTCTAGGTAATATGGTAGGCATTGTTGGATGCCAGTGGCTCCTGTCTGTAATCCTACCTACTCAAGAGGCTGAGATCTGAGGATCAAAGCCAACCCTAGGCAGGAAAGTCTGTGAGACTCTCATCTCCAATTAACCACTGGAAAATGGGAAGTGGTGTATATCACAGAGGAAGCCTATGCATTATTAAAAAGGTAGCATAACCATAAGCAATTCCCCTTGACAATCCAGAAAAAGTAGTGCTCTGAAGTGAGAACTCAAAGGAAAAATAAATACTAGAAATCAAATTTAGATCAGTTTTATGTGAGACATTTTTAACACTGTACATAAAAATGTCCAAGTTACTTTCATAATGATCAAGAATACTGCTCATTACTGTCACAGTTTTCCAAATATTACATAATGAACTTGTAACATTTCCTTATCGCTTCCTACTGAATTGTAAGCTACAATTGTTTAAAAACCATATCACTTTTTGTTGTCATTTTTTTTTCCAACAAAAAACCAAAGTGCAAAAAACCAAACTGGCCCTTTGGCCAGTCTTGTATGTGCTTTGATCCAATGCTACATGTATTCAGCTTTCAAAGCTCGACAAATTTTCATACTTCCTTAAATATGAAAAATTATGGTCTTATGGCTGAATTAAACTTAAGAAAAAAGTAAAAAAAATGGGAAGTGATGCTGTGGCTCAAAGTGGTAGAGTGCTAGGCTAGCCTTGAACAAAGAGAGCTCAGGGACGGTGGCTAGCTCTGAGTTTAAGCTCTATAACAGACTAAAATCCTAATCTTAATTTTAATAATATGGCAGGCATTGATTTAACTTGTTAGAAAACTGTCAATCTGTTTTCTAAAATGCACCATTTTACAATCTCACAAGCAGTGTAGGAGAGCTATATTTTCTTCCTTTTTCTTTTAAGTAAGTTTCTTGAGTGTTACTTTTATTTAATTGATTTCTTGCTATTTTTTTTTTTTTTTGCAGGTCTTGGGCCTTGAACTCAGGGATTAGGCACTGTCCTTGAGTCTCTTTGTGTTCAAGGTTAGCCCTCTACCATTTGAGCCACAGCGATGCTTCTGGCTTTCTGAGTAATTTATTGGAGAAAAGAGTTTCCTGGCTGGGCGCTGGTGGCTCAGGCCTGTAATCCTAGCTACTCAGAAGGCTGAGATCTGAGGATCGCAGTTCAAAGCCAGCCCGGGCAGGAAAGTCCGTGAAACTCTTATCTCCAATTAACCACCAGAAAACTGGAGGTAGTGCTATGGCTCAAGTGTTAGAGTGCTAGCCTTGAGCTGAAGAGCTGAGGGACTTTGCTCGCCCTACAACCACCACCACCACCAACAAAAAAAGAGTTTTCTGCATGGGCTGGCTTTGAACTGCAGTCCTCAGAACTTAGCCTCATGAGTAGCTGGATTATAGATGTGAGCCACCAGCGCCTGGCTTCATACTATCATCTTCCTTTCTCTTTTTTCTTTTTCTTTTGGTCAGCCCTAGGGCTTGAACTCAAGGCCTAGGCATTGTCTCTGAGCTGAGCTTCTTTTGCTCAAGACTAACATTCTACCACTTGAGCCAAAGTACTACTTCCAGGTTTTTCTGTTTATGTGGTACTGAAGAATCCAACCCAGGGCTTCATGCATGCTAGGCAAGCACTCTACCACTAAGCAACATTCCCAGCCCTTATACTATCTTCTTATATGACTTATTTTATAGAGTTTCTGCTTGAAATTTTTGTCTAGTTACAAAAATAAACAATTAGCTCTCATATTCGGATATAAATTCATAGCTGATAAATGTTTTCTCCTGGCCTGGAGCTTAAATGTTATTTTCAATTCATTTTTTATCAAATTAGACTTGATGAATTTAAATTTATTTATGCTGTGCTTTTTAATGTTCCATTTATGAAACTTTTGTCTGCTTAACAATACAGAGATTTTCTTCTAGAGGTTTTAGAGTTTAAGCTTTACATTCCTTTTATGATCCATTTGAGTTGATTGACTTTTTGTGTAAGATAAATTGCTTGCTACAGAGTGATTTAGTTGTTCCAGCACCATTTTTCAAAACACAGACCATTCTTGTATGGAAGAGCCTTGACATTTTGGTCAAAAATAATTAATGCTTATATATAAGGACAAAAATGATAATAAGGTATATTTAAATATTTTGTAAATTTCTGGGGAGATTCATAATTGGTGGGCCAAACATTAAAAGTGATCATGTACATCAACATCAATCCTTTTTACCCAAATATACTTTGCCTTGAATATTTCTTTGTGTATCTAGAATTAATGTAACAATTTTGTTGATTCTAAAACTACATGAATTGTAATGTCCATATTACAAACACAGAAATAATCTACCCACTATTAACTATGTAGGCTTTCTGGTGAAGAGAAGCCTTGACTTACGTGTTTTGAATTTTATAATGCCCATAGGTTTCAGAATTTTCTTCAAATGTAAAGGAGCTCTCTCTGTCTGTCTCTCTCTCTTCACACACAACATACAACACACACATCTTCCTTTTAAAATGCAAATATATAGCAATGATAAAATGACCATAATTTAACTTTCTATAAAAGGAGTGCCAAAAATATTTAATTTGTGATAAGAGAAAAATATAGAGAAGAAAACTCAGTGGCTATGAAAACAGATCCAAAAATTTAATGATTTAAAAAGAACCTCTACATCTACAAGATGGCAAAGAATGACAGAGATGGAAGATTTTGGTTCTGAAAACATGAAGTGTCACCATGTAGCTTAGGACGAATCCATCATCTCCTAAGGAATATACATCATACAAGGAAATATACAAGGATATATACACTTTTTAACTGCTTCAAGTGTTACTGCTGCTCAGCAACACTTTTCCTCCATACACATTTACTTGTTGTACAAGACAGCTTTAATCTTTGTACAATGAAGAGCTTTGAGAATTACCATAGCAATTGTTTGGAAAAGCACCATCCACGATAATTTCCAGTGATTTGTTTTTTTAAAAATGCACTAAGATCATGCATTCTTCTTTAATCTTTTCTTGTTCCGATAGTTTGGTTGTTCTCTATTAAATAGGCAGAAATTGCAAATAAAAACATGTTACCAAATGGGCTAGAATGAAACTACTTCTGTGTACTGACTGATCATAGAAAACATCTTATTTTTTGGTGGTTAATTGGAGAAAAAAAAGCCTCTCAGAGTTTCCTGTGTGGGCTAGCTTTGAATCTCGAGCTTCAGATCTTAGCTTCCTGAGTAGATAGTATAACTTGACTCGGCAATATAGGAATATGTTTACCAAATTACCAAATTGCCCATGATGAAGCTGATGGCCAATGCCCTATTCACACAGTTTAGGTGTAAGGAGACAGAATATGGAATAAATGTTGTGATTAGCTTTGAGATGGAGGTGGGGATTGTCCATAGTCACTGGCCACACAGAGTTGTAAAGATTAGGGGGACTGTGCAGCTGCATATTTGAGCTTTAAGGCAAGTGTTACCAAGCAGTAAGAAAGAAAGATATGGCCTGGTAACACTAAACTTCCGTAATGAAGGAACTGTCAGTTTCCCTCTGAATGGGGATAGGCGTATCTAAGTAGATGTGAAGAGTCAGAAAGGCCTTTACTTACAACTGGCAGATGAAACTATTCCTTTTTAAATTGTGTTTGGCAATTCTCATGTGTTTTCATGAAATTCTGCTGCAAATATTGTTGGAAAAAACAATTCTAAGAGACTTTTGAAAAGTGTCATGCCTGAATCACTTACAAATCCAGATCCAGTACCCCCAGGGAAACTAGTATTCTCTCTTTATTGTAGCTTCTTGTCAAGTGTTGAAACAATCCCATCTTAATCAACTATGGACATAGCTTCTTAATATAGTACATGTGCCTCTCTTTCTTCCTGGGACCTGACATTTTGGAACTTGAGTTAATAAGGACTTTCTGAAAATTTCCCCCCAAAAGGACTTTTTCAACCATAAATGGAGCATTTTGTTAGAATGTGTTCAAGGCAGTTGATTTTGAAATAAGTTTCCAAACACGAATAAGCCATACTGTGCCTCATTGTGTGGGAGGAAAACACTGGCAAACATACTATGCTTCCCAGATTTGGGTGTGCCAGACTCAGATCATCATGAAAACATGTAGAGCAATATTACAAACAGCTGGTACATTTTTCTAAAAATCCCCAAAATGCAGCATTCGGAGGTACTTACTAAGGTGCTTTTTAATTCATTTTTTTCAATGGAATGTATCAGACAAACATCTACAAACACAAATCCACAACACAGGGACAAATTTCTATACAGCTTATGTCTTAGATACTTGTATGTCTACATAAGAACCACACAGGGAAAAATAAGTGATTTCCCTCTCTAGCTCCCTGAATTTTCTGAAAGTTGTCTAACTCATAAAATGTTAAAATATTCCATTTTCATATAAAATAATCTATAAAAATAGATAATATTTACAAAAACCAGATAGTATTTCCAGTTTTCCTTAGTAATCATTCATTCAGCCCTCTCCTGGTTCTGGTCCTTTTCTTCTCAGAATGTGGCCATCTCCAGCAAGGAGCGCTTGAAGAGCTGTGCATTTCTGGACAGGTCAGTTACTTGGTGCACCATTTCCTGCAGGGCTGTGGTGCTGGGATAATGGAGGGCCGCCATCTTGGTTGCCATTACTATGGTCTTGAGCTGTTCACAGAGCTGGTTGCTAGAGTTCATGACTTTGTTGCGGATATCCTGGGCAGCTACCTGCCTTGTCAAGGTATCTCCAATGAACACCAGTTTGTGTGCACTGAGGATAACGAACTTGCTGTGGGCCACAAAGATCCGAGGAGGCTGAGCTGAACTGACGCAGCTGAAGAGAGCATCAATGGCGTTAAGAAGGGATATGAAATGAGTCTCACACTGGTCATAGTAGAAGCAAAGTAACTGCCGATCCTGGACCCCCACGGTGCTGTTTGTGGTGGGGAGGTTCTGAGGGGGCTTCCACTTGGAGATATCATTCTCCACCGGCTTGGTGATTTCTTGTTCCAAAAGCTGGAACTGACTCAGCTAAAAGGAAGAGGAGAATAGATTTCATGAAACACAAAGATGTGTGTGATAATGTAATGAGTATTGGCAAGAGTTGTAGCGCAGTGGGTTTCATCCCACTGAACAAGGATAAGGCCCTTGTTACCAGTAAGGTAACTTGGTCAAGTTGCTTTGCTTCCTAAACTATAATGTGGATGTTGGGGATGATGATCTCTAAGAAGTCCCTCATCTCAGACCTGTGGTGACACCACTGGTCTCTTCTGCCTTCTTTGTTTTTTAAGTTGAATATAATTATGTGTGTGTGTGTGTGTGTGTGTGTGTGTGTGTGTGTGTGTGTCTGTGCAGGTACTGGGGCTTAAACTCAGGGCCTCACAGCTTTGCTTCACTTTTTCTGTTCAATGTTAGCACTCTACTTCTTGAGCCATACCTCTACTTCCAGCGTTTTGCTGGTAAATTGGAGATAAGAGTCTCTCAGGTTTATATGCCTAGGCTAGCTTTGAACGAAGATCCTCATATCTCAGCCTCCTCAGCGGCTTGGATGCATAGGTCCCTAGTGCCTGGCTCCCTTTTGCCTTTGGTCTGGTAGCATAGAATTTAAACCCCAGCCTTGTCACCTATGTCTTTATGAAAGTTAAATGAGCTAAATGTTCACGAAATATTTAGAAGACTGTTTGGTATATCATAGGCTCAGTGTAAATGCTCATTAAACACTGAGTGGTAGTATCTGAAAACCAAATACAATGAGTTTGTTGTCAAATAATTTACCATCGATTTTGCTCCTTATTGAAGAAGGTATTGGCTCTCTCCTTAAGATGTTCAGACCAAATGAAAACTCATGACCTCTTTCTCTTCCCCCAAGAAATGCACAGCCAGCTTTACTGTTTTGTGGAAGTTGCTTGCTTCTCAAGAATCACTATGGCTTCCTCAAGTTCTCCCAAATTCTTCTGTATTGTTTGGTCACAGAACAATGCAAATGGAAGCCCACACAGGAGGATGTTCCAAAGTATTTACTAATAGTGAATTCTATTTAATCTAGCTTCTACTTGTATAAGTGTATTCGCCAGCGAATCCTCTCATTAGATGGAGAGAGACAGATTATTTTCTCATTTTGTAAAGAAGTAATTAGGATTCTTGGTTGGCCAGAATGCAAAGTTTAGAAGTCAGGTTTCCTGGAGAGGACATGCTGTGTCATGTTATCACCTGCCATTTCATTTCATTTTAAAGGCTTTCCAATCTTCAACCCATTTCTGTATATTTGTCCACACAATACCCATCATGACCTGGCCTACCCATACTTCATCTCTGAATGAGCATGCCCTGCCCAAAGCCTTCTGTTTGTTTTGAGAACATTGTATCCTCACGTCCTTCTCTTAGACTAGACCACTCACAGCCAAGACATAGGCTTGTGTTGCTGCAAAAGACAGATAGAGATGATATGGGAGAGATGAGAACCAGAATTTGTGAGGGATTTAAATCATAGAAGGCAGTTAACCATCCGCTGAAGAAGCTGAGATAAAATGGCATCTATAGGAAAGCCTTTGGAGCTAGGCACACTGGCACATACCAAAATCCTTGCAGTCAGGAGGCTGATGAAAAAAGAACCTACATTTGATGCCAGCCTAAGTTATTAAACAAAACAAACAGAAATTATTCTTATAGGAAGGGCTTGAGGGGCATTTAGAGGCTCCATTGAGCTAGAAGAGGGAATCAGATGACCAGATGACCAGAGGGAATGTCAGAAGGCAGAGAAGAATGAAGCAGATGTATAGAGAGAAGCAGAGCTTGAAGTATTCAAAGGAGAGAGAATATGAAGTCCTAGTTTCCATTAAACTGAGCTATATCTTCATTTTTCTGATCTTGAATTTCATTACTCTGACCGCAATAGAAAACTAATGTGCTTGGGCAAGCTTGAGCGGGTCTTATGTTTCAAGACCAAAAGTCTTAACAGCTCCTAATAAGTTATGTATAAACAGATTGAGTCTGAGGGACAAAAAAGGTCATTTGGAAGTAGTCAAAGTACACCCAGCTGTATCAGTGAGACCATCAACCTCCTCTTTGTTCTTATATCTATTATATGCCTGAGAGCTTATTTATGCCAATGTGCTGGCAGGACCCAAATGAGAATCTTTTCAAGTTACACTTTCACTACTAAGCAGGAATCCTTTTGCCCACTTACCTGATGATGTTCCAGCTGCATCTTGCTCTGTTTGATGATATTCTCTTTCTCTAACAGCTCCTTCTGTTGCCTCTCAAACTCCTCCTTACCCTGTTGCCAACATAAAGAACATATTAGCCCATCACCGTGAGTCATTTAGGCCAATCATATCATTGACAATATATATCTTCTCTCATTTTCCACTCTCTTGGTCACTTCCCACAAATTAGGCCCTGAGAATCCCAAATAGCCGCCATCTTTGACCACTGCTTCCAGAGTCACCATGGAGGTTAAGGCTGAAAACTGAGGGCTGTTTCTATGTGGGTACCATATTCTCTGTGCTGCCACTTTCACATTTTGCTATAATCCTATTGGATTCTAGAAACTTGGAACTTCCCCCTCCTTTTTTTTTTTGATCGGTTGTGGGGCTTGAACTCTGGGCTTGGGCACTGTCCCTACTCTCTTCGGCTCAAGGCGAGCGCTCTACCACTTGAGCCACAGTGCCACTTCTGTTTTCTAGCGGTGTATTGGAGATAAGAGTCTCACGGACTTTCCTGCCCAGGCTGGCTTTGAATTGCGATCCTCAGATCTCAGCCTCCTGAGTAGCTAGGATTACAGGCATGAGCCACCGGTGCCCGGCTACTTGGAACTTCCTTAAGAAGCACTAATGATCATGGTTCTTTTCTAGCAGGCTAAATAGGTTATAGGTGAATCTATAATCCTCTAGAGGTGGTCTATGTATGGTCCACATTTCACTTCTAGTTTCTTTGAATCACCCGCTCAGAATTTTTCATTCTCAATGTGTAGAATTGAAAGGGCATGGAGTCTATCTGCTCTCCCCACATTACCCATCCTTAGCAACAATTATTGGCTTTACTGCTTAGTGGATACCCCCACTCCCTTGTACTCAGGGGCATTTAGTAGTTTAAAAGCTTTCAGTAAAAGTAAGTCATAGCTCTCCATCAAATGAAAAGAATGGCAGAAATAGAAGTAAGCCCAAGTATAAATATTTATTGTTCTCCTTCTTCATACTGAGGTTTGAACTCAGAGCCTTGTTCTTGGTAAGAGGCATTCTTACCACTGAGCCATGCCTTCAGCCCTGATGTGTGCTTATTTTGGAGAGAGATCTAGCTTCCTGTCCAGGAGCACACCTGAGTGTAAAACACCTGTTCAGATTCCCACTGTAGCTAGGACAACAGGCTTGTGCCACCACATTTAGTTCTTCATTGAGAAAGAGTCTCATAAACATTTTTATTTTCTGCATGGACTGGCTTAGAACCATGATCCAAATAATCTTAGCTTCCTAAGTAGCTAGGAGTAGAGGATGAACTGCTAGTGTCCTGTTGTGTGGGCTTCCAGGTCAACTTAGAAGTTGATAGGATTCCTACTGTTGAAAGTAGACTGTGATTCTAGTTTTCCATATTCAAGTGAAGTTTGAGGCCAGTTGGTCCACTGGTCCTCTAAGGAAGTATGAGATTAGGTAAACACACACACACACACACACACACACACACACACACACACACACACACACACACACACACAGAGTAGACCAAGAATGTATCTTGGAAGTGATTTAGGTATTGAAGTTTTCAATGTTTTACCTTAATAGTGAAATCTTTTTACTTCTTTTAAGTTTTCTAAAACAATAAACTACCATATAAACCATATCATAAAATACAAGAAGGAGCTGGTATGATTACAGGCGGACCTGCTCTCCTTTGGCAAGTTTCCAGCTGCCTGTGGCATATCAATGGGGTCTAACCATACCTGCATGCCATTTGTTTGCAAATGAAATTAAGACCCAGGAAGATGACATGAGCTGGTGCACAACTATTGTCAGTAAGATCTAGAGCTAAAGTCTCAGGACCCTCAGACCCTCTATTTTTTTCCACCTTCAATTTTCCAATATCACCTCCAATTTCCAAACCACTGGGCTAGCACTCATCATGTCCTGTCTTTTGGTAGTTGGCCCAACAACCTTACAGACTTCCTGAGTATGAGTGCACATGGTCTAGGAGTCTGAGGTCTTTACCTGTAGGTGGACGTAATCATAATCATCCATCCAGCTTCTTTCTGAGCCATCACTGCTACCACAGTCTGGTGGCTGGTCCTTGCCCAGGGTAGGGGTCAGTGGTTTGCTGTGGGCCTGGGTCTTATAGTCACCAGGCCGTAGCAGTTGCATCTGGGACCCAGGGTGTGTGTACTCAGGTGAGTTCGTGATACTTTCAGGCCCATTCTTCAGATGCCAACTGCTGGGGCCTGGTCTGAAGAGGGCCTCGGCATTGGTGTTGATGGTGGTGGTCAGTTGCTTGGCATCGTCAGGCACTGTCTTGGCCACCATCACAAACCGGTCCAGATCATCACATTTGTTTTGGGGCTTGTTGATGGCTAGGATATTCAGAGACCAGCTGCATTCATTTAAGTCATGGCTAGTTTGACTTAGAATCTGATGAGAGTCTTCGACTCTTTGGAGCTCTCGCTTCATTTTGTTGTGGAGGACAAGTTCTGGGAGGCAGGAGGCATTAGCTACAGCACCCTTGGCAAAATGGAGGTACTCCCTCAGAAACAGCTCCACCTTGTCTACAGTGGTGCGTATCTCATTGATGTGTCGCTCCATGTATCCGTAACACCTCCAGTCTGTGGTGACCAGTGCCATGAGGCTACTCACACCCATCTCCAGGGCCTGCTGGAGCCGATGGAGCCTCTCGATGGCTGTATCTGGATCCAGCAAGAGTCTTTTGTCCTGAGATGGGGAGGCTGATAGGGAGGACTCCTTTGAAGAGGTGGAAGATGTGGACATATTACTCCTGGTGCTGCCTGTACTAGAGAAAGACAGTCGGTTGATTCCATCGACCACATCCCGGGAGCCCTTAGTCTCTGCTGGGTTATGCAGAGGGACGTCGTAAACACCATCTCTTTCCTGGGGGTTTGCTTTCTCATGGCTTTCTGCTGGTGGTTCCAGAAACTGGACCCCGCGGGGGACATCATAGGCATCGCTCGGGGTGCCTGAGGACTGAGCCAGCTGTGGGGGTGAATGATGCAGGGACAGGGCCTGGAGCCTTCGAGGCACAGGCTCAGTGGCTCCTGGAACATCACAGTTGCATTTGGTGTGAAGGTCCTTCTCCGTTGGCTTGGTGCTGGCTGGGGGGATGTCATAAACCCCCTCAGGTCTGATGTCTGGCCTTCCAGGTTGTCTCATCGGAGGAGGAAAGTCATATTCCTTTTCCCGAAGGCCTGCTTCATCTCGGCAGGCAGGTGGTGGAATGGCATAGACCTGGAAAGTACAGAAAGGGCAAAACTTGCTATTTGTGTAGTTGGCATTCAGAAACTGAACAGTCCAGGAAAAGGCAGCCCTGTACAGGTCTGTATCTGAGCTGTCCCCATTCTTTCCCTCATCATTAGTAGGTGCTTCTCAAGAGGCTGCAGAGATCCTGGGGTGGGGCAAGAGGGGCTGTCCTCCCTGGATTGGTCATGTAGAGAGAGACGCGCATTATCACACTGCTTGAGACCTGTGTGATCCCTCTGCTGTCCCTGCTTATCACGTGAACTATGAAGCTGCCTGAGTTCTGTGGTTCCCTTACCTGTGCAGGTAGGATAAGTACGTGTGCAGTTCAGGTACACCCCAGGGGCTAGTGTGATCCAGCAAGCTGCCTCTTGTATATGGACTGTGGAGGCTGTAGACCCCTCTATAAAGATGAGCTCTTCTTTATGAGCCCTTCCATTTAGCTCTCCTTATTGACTTTCCCATTTTATAGGCAATGCCCTAAATTTGAACTCTCTAGAATTATTATTATTATGTTTTTGCCAGTCCTGGGCCTGGGCACTATCCTTGAGTATCTTTTTTTTTTTTTTTTTGGTCTGGTCGTGGGGTCTGAACTCTGGGCCTGGGCACTGTCCCTCAGCTCTTCAGCTCAAGGCTAGCACTCTACCACTTGAGCCCAGCGCCACTTCCAGCTTTTTTTCCCTGCTTATGTGGTGCTGAGGAATCAAACTCAGGGCCTCATGCATGCAAGGCAAGCGCTCTACCACTGAGCCACCTTCCCAGCCTCTAGAATTATTATTATTTTTTTGTTGGTCATGGGGCTTGAACTCTGGGCCTGAACACTGTCCCTCAGCTCTTCAGCTCAAGGCTAGCACTCTACCACTTGAGCCACTGCGCCACTTCTGGTTTTCTGGTGGTTAATTATAGATAAGAGTCTCATGGACTTTCCTGCCTGGGCTGGCTTTGAATGTGATCCTCAGATCTCAGCCTCCTGAGTAGCTAGGATTATAGGCGTGAGCCACTGGCACCCGGCTTAGAATTATTTTTAATTATTGCTTTTCCATTTCTTATTCTTTCCCCTTCCCCTTTCCTTTTCCCTTGGCTCCTCTCTTCTCTCCCTTTACTTTCCTACTCCCCCTCTCTCCCTTCCTTCTTTCTCTCACCAAGTCTAGTTTCCTGTAGAGTTTGCCTTTTTGTTTTATCCCAAAGAACTAACACACACACACACACACACACACACACACACACACACACACAGTAGTTTTCCTTCAAATGCTCACTTACCCCTTTAGTTGGAGGGATGTCATAAACCCCTTGAGGTTTTATCTCTCCTACTGGGACTGAAAATGCAGGGCCTTTCACTGATGAAGGAGGGATATCATATACCTGCAGAGAAATACTTGGTTACCCACAATGGAAACATCTTATATTAGTAATTTTATACTATATTCTTTCATTGTGCATTTGTTTGCCAAATTATGAACAGACTTGATCCTTGGCACCATTCTATCTCCTAAGTAGGTGGTTGACAGAAGTTTCCTTTATAAATTTGCATTCTTCAATTTAGATCGAATACAAAAATGATCTTAAATGACAATATATCCCTACTATGTACTTTAACTTGGAATGTAAAATTTATACTTCCTAAGATAAAATGATAAACTGATAAAGCATCAAGAAGGGTTCTTTGATAACAGATTAGGAGTTCTTGGTAAGGCAAATCCAGAAAATATAATTTAGATAATATTGCTAACATGGTTCCTAGATTGACAACTTTAACAAAGCCTCATATGAAACTCTACCCAATTTGTGGAACTTTATGTCCCTCTATTGTTCTGAAGAAATACTACTCCAAGAACCCCTCTTTTCCATTGATTGTGTTCTTATGACATACCCCTTGAGTAGTGTGGGAAGGAGGGATATCATAGACATCCTTTTGGTATCTGGCTGGGTACTCGTACACATAGCCATGGCCGGTCCGCACGGGGGTTACCACCTGTGGGTGAGAACACAGAGCTGTAAGCATCTCCCTGCTTCCTAATCAGGAACTCATCCCTCTCGTGTAACCAGGAAGGGTGGAGGAAAGAAGGAAGGAAGAAGGGAGAGAGGAGAAAAAGGGAGTAATGGAGAGAAAGAGGGAAGTGAGAAGAAGGGAGAAGGAGAAGAAGAAAGAAAGAAGGAGAAAAGGAAGCAGACAAGAAGACACCAGACTAGTAAACTTATATCCCACTCAGATTCCAACATTGACCAAGTCCTAGAAATCCCTCTGTTGTCTTTCTTTATGTTAACAAAATCATCTTGGAGTTTATCCTGTTGTCTTTCTTAATGTTAACAGAATCATCTCAAAGTTTATCAACTCTTGAAATGTACTTTAAGGAGACTGGTGTTTAAATCATGGAAGACCTAGATGACCCCATGGGAACAGCCAAAGGCTCCAAAACTTTTGTAAAGTGCATAATAGGAATAGTTTGGGCACTTAAAATTCCTCTCATGCCTTCTCCAGTATGACTCTTCATCTGGCATCATTATTGCAATTCGAACTAAAATTCCACGGGTCACCAGAGCACTTTCACGAAGCAAAGCAGATGTTCAACAGTGCTGTCCTATACGTTTCCAAGAGCTTCCAATTTAACTTGGGAAACAAACAAAATACAATTGTCCTTAGATATCTATAGGGGATTGACTCCCAGATCCCCTATAGATAGCCAAATCTATGGAAGCTCAAGTTTCTTATGGCAAATGGTGCAGTATTTGCATATAACCTGAGCGCACACTCTAGTCCTTAGAAGTGCAATGTATAAGCTATCTCTGTCAATAGATATGTAGATATGTTATACTGTGTTGCTTAAAGAATAATAAGGAAAAAGTGCATGTTCATCCCAGATGTAAGTTTTTTTTTTTCCTAAGCATTTGTAATTGGCGATTGGTTGAACCTCCAGATGCGGAACCAGAAGTACTGGTACAGGAAGTCAGTCCTCTGGCCTTGAAGTAGGGATGCTGAATCTAACCTGTGCTGTCTTGGCCATGTGGTAGATGATAGGGAATTGGGTTTAACTGGGTCATCGTGTCTTCATGGTGGAGTCAGGGAAGTCTCAGCTCCCCAGGTGATGGGCATGCTTGAATTCTTCGAGGCAGAGGCAGGGGCTTGGACAATAAGTTACTGGACCTGTCAGTCTTGTGTGGTGAACTCTGAAGCTCCCCGTGACCCTGCCCCCTGACCTGACTCTGTTTAGACCTGGACTAGCTCAGGTGCAGGTTCGCCATGCCACGTGTCTCCTGTCTGCTTGTGTGCTGTCTTTTGGATCTCCTCCTGGTCAACTTCAGATCTCCATTGGAACAGAGCTGGTGTGTTGGTATTGTTTTCTGCTCTCTCTTTCCTCTCCTGCCTGCATGGCTCAGTTTTCTAACAGTGGTAAGTGTATTCGAGGGGCTGCAGGTCTTTGTGACAGGAGTCTACCTGTGGTCGCTGGCTTTACAATAAAGACTCCCGATTCAGTCTCTCAGAATGTGACTTCTTTGTTTTCTCGCCTTACAACAGCCTCACCTCTCATTTCTCCATTTCCACAGGAAAACAAACATGCCACCAGTTCCTGAGTCCTGGGGATTTCAGAAACTCAATGCACTCGCCTTGACTCTGGCATCTGAGTCAATGAAATGAATCTCACCTGGCAGGCTCTTGTTTTCCTCTCTACATACTACAATGGTTTCTTAAGCACAGGTAGAGACACTACTTAAACAATACATTTTGGAAATATAGTTTATCCTCCCAGGGATTCTAAGTTGCCAGCATCTCTTTTCTTTGCCTAAATGTCTCCCCAATTATTAATAATATTCTCAAATATTGCCAAGATGTTTTTGAGAACAGACATTATAAATTAGGAAGAGTTGGCCATTCCCTAGGAAATGCTCATCTTTTATCTTTCTCTAATGTGGAGCCTGGTCAGGCCGCCTCTGAAGCTGTGTGAAGTATGCTCCGCGTCCATCTTCTGCTACAGTGGGTGGAACCCAGCCAAATGCACCAATGCTCTGCTCCCCAGGGGCTCAAAAATGCTCCAGTTCAGTTTTGTTCTAAATCCTTGTCACTTACAATTGGTTATTTCTTGAAATGAAAGTAAAAGAGATTAGTATGCACTCAACATTTCCATCAAGTCTTTTCTGTCTTGTAAAAAAAGGAGCCTATTCCTTTAAGGTTTGTTGGCATAGATCATCAGAACCATTCTCCACAATGGCTGCTGTATTGTGCACAGCAAGTCTTCCTTTTTGAAGCAGGAGGCCCTTTGTTAAGGCAAAGCAGGCTGCATTCCTAAAGCCCTTCTGCAAGTTGTGTGTGTTTGTGTGTGTGCGCGTGCGCGCGCGTACTTGCTATTGTCTAGGAAAGAAATGAAGATCTTCACGAAGTCTATCTCGTCAGCTCTCTATTTATAGCGCTATACTGTGGCTTTATACTAGAACCTGTTCACAATGCAGCTTTTGTTCAGTCTGAAAGTTTCCAAGAGTGGCTTTTCTGCAAGGGTGCCAATTTAAGGATAAAGGGAATGGAGAAGCAAAGCTGAAGTGCACCGGAACTGTTCAACTTTCATGTAAAGGAGGGAGGGGGCAGAGGTGGTGGGGGGCGGGGGAAGGGTTGTACTAGTGTTTGAAAATGGCAGTAGAGGAAATATAAATGGGGCCTGACTCTCAGAAAGAGTCACAAGCAAAACCTTTGTGGACCTTCTGGGGCAGAGGGCATTCATACTTCTTGGTGTTTAACATTTCACTTCCTGACAAATGTCACAGAACCCCAACTTGCTCTCTTTCTCATTTAAAGGATGCCTGTGGTCATCTGGTTTTTAAAGACTTTGCATTCCAAACCAGTCATTTTCCTTGTTTATACAGTTAAAGAACCAGATGGTGCAAACCACTGAGGGAAAAAGCCAAGAAGAGACAACGTCCCCAGATTGCAATGTTTCTGATGATGGTACAATCAAAATTCACATGGGCCCACAAATGACATTTAAGTGGGACTGACGTTTTGCATCTGGTCAGACATGTCCGAGACACTTAGTGATCTGAGCTGTGATGTCTAACGGATCGGGAACTGGAAGTCTCTTCGTGGACATTCTCTATCTTGAACTATGGCTGGGGTCACTTTCATGCCAATTGTGTGTTCTCTCCTCAGAGGAAAGTGCTGACCGAGCGAGCTGTCCCTTGGGTTCCAGCTGTGTGGTTCATTAAGACTTCTTTCTCCATGCCTGACAGTAGCACACAAAATTCTTTCTGCTTTCTCTCTGTACCCTAACTTCCTATAACTACCGACCCTCCGCCAAGGGGCACTCCAAGGGGACCTCAAGTTTGGAAGAGGTCTCTAGGGTAGTTGTATGCTCAAGCATGAAAGGAATTGCAATGGAAAAGGCATTTAAAACGAAGTCGCTCAATGAAATCAAGTCAGGTTTTTCACTGCCCTTTTTCTTTCTGTTTGTTTTCCTTTTCTGCATTCCTTTCATTCTATGTATTTATTTATAGTTACAAGGGCTTAACCTTGGAAATTACCAAACTGACCTCTTAATTCATTAGTGTTGCTTGAGGGGGATCACTTGTGAGGTCTGCTGGGGGCCAGATGCTACTGCAACCGTGTTTTGCTCACCCCCAGAGACTCTTCTATGTCAGAGATGGATTTTCTGTCTCTGTCCCTAGGAGGAGTCCAGCCATGCTCAGATGTTAGTATACTAGTATACCTACTATACTGCTCTTGGCAACCAAGAGGACACTCTCAAAACAGACACTTCAGGAAGAGCTACAAATGCAATTTTTTTCTTTGTTCTCTTCTTTAAACTTTTTATCAACTCATATGAATTATTAACAACATACTATACATGCATGTTCAGTCAGTGTTCACTGGCTCAATAAACACTTAGAAAAGAAAAAGAGTCCATCAGTCAATCTCCAAGGCATGGGCCCTGGCCCAGTAGGACTAAAAGACCTCAGATAAAGGGTATACTAGGTCTCTGATGAATCTATTTATGTAAGAATGAGCAAAACCACCTCAGCTTTCCCAATCTCACACTAATGGATTTTAATTCACACTATTTTGAGCTTCAGATCCTGGGCACACAGGCTGTTTGGGGAGGTTTTTCTAATGGCTCTGCACCCATCCCATGAATTCAACCAATCTGGAGTGGAAAATACATGGAAAGCTTTCATGTGCAGGCTTTAAATCCCTCATTATTCCTCCCTCAACAGCTAGTTACACATCAAATATTATCAGCCAGTTAGAGATGATCTAGAGTCTATGGGAGATCACGATGAGGGTATAAGCAAAAATTATTTTTCCTTTTTGTTTTTTTAATAAGGGTCCTGGGACTCCTTAGGAGCCTGGAACCAATGTCCGGAGATATCAGAGGGATGGCTGTATTTTCATGACTCATAATGTTGAGAGCAATGCATCCTCAAACTTCAAGAAGAGGGTCTTTGTATGGATAGCAAGTGGCTGGAGTACATGACCTTGAGAACCAATACCAGAGAGAGTCAGTGGGTTAGAAGAAAGGCCCTTGGTGCTCTTCATTGATACTTCCAGGTTCAGTTCGTCTGAACTTGTAGAAACAACTCGTGCTTGTGAGGCTATCAACTAAGGTACAGGGGAGAAATGGTTGGGCTTTCTGTGATGGTGAGACATCCTACCAAAAAGAGATAGTGAGGCTTCTCAAGCTAACAGTTGTTCCCTCCTCCAGTGCTTCCTATGTTGTCAGATCTTTCAAATTGTCAGGAAAACCGAGAAACCCTGGCTTGCTAGGACTGAGTCAAAATTTGAAAACAGAATCTTGGTCAAGTTAAACATGTCTCTGGTCTCTGGGGTTGCTTGTCTTCACCTCCATCTTTATCGATGCATTTTTTGCCCTCCTTCCTTAGGAACTACTGAACCACTCTGCACATCCTTGAGCATCAAATAATGTAGAGTCTTCAGTCTTTGGCTTTGGCTTTCCCTAATATTTAGACCAAATTCCATTCCCAAGGCTATGG